TCCTCCGTCTGCACTCTGACAGAGGTGGGGAGTTTTCCTCTAGCCTCTTGGAGGCCTTCTGTCAGCAGGAGGGCATTGAGCAGTCGTTCATGCTTCTGGACTCTCCACATCTGAACGGGGTTGCTGAGCGCCGCATTGGTTTGGTCATGGAGGTCGCTCGTACCTCCTTGGTTCATGCGGCTGCCCCCCACTTTCTGTGGCCGTTTGCAGTCCGATACGCTGCGCATCAGCTCAACCTCTGGCCCCGTGTCTCCTTACCGGAGACTTCTCCGACACTGCGTTGGACGGGAGAGGCTGGCGATGCGTCGCATTTTCGGGTCTGGGGATCCCGAGCTTTTGTTCGCGACACGTCCGCGGACAAGCTCTCCCGTCGCGCTGTCCCCTGTGTCTTCCTTGGCTTTGTCCCGGACGCGCCTGGTTGGCAGTTCTACCACGCCACCTCGCGTCGTGTCCTGGCCTCTCAGGACGTCACTTTTGACGAGTCCGTCCCCTACTACCGCCTCTTCCCCTACCGCACTGCCCCACTCCCCCCCCCGCCTCTCTTCCTGGCTCCAGGTGCTGAGGTACCAGACCCCCTCCCCCCTCAGGGTGCCGCTCCTTCAGGTGTGTCCCAGGTAGACCCGGGTGAGCCTGTCGAGGTAGCTGTTGACTCTCGTCCTGCTGGGGGTGCTGAGCCTGGGGGTGCTGAGCCTGGGGGTGCTGCGTCTGGGGGTGCTGAGCCTGGGAGTGCTGAGTCTGGAGGTGCGGAGCCTGGGGGTGCTGAGCCTGGGGGTAGTGAGCCTGACGGTGCTGAGTCTGAGGGTGCGGAGCCTGGGGGTGCTGAGTCTGGGGGTACTACACCTGGAGGAGCCCTCTCCTCACAGCGGCTGCAGGAGCGGTACCTACAGTACTGCCGCCTCCGGAGAGGTACTGCTGGAGCTGGTCGCGGTGCTTCCCCTCCTGCCCGGGAGCTCCCCCCCCTCCAGCAGATCCGAGAGTGGTACACGAGGCGCTGCAGTCTTCGTAGTGGTGCTCCTGGTGCTGCGGACCCGGACGTTGGAGCTGCTGCTGGTGCTGCGGACCCGACTGGTGGAGCTGCTGCTGGTGCTGAGGACCCGAGCGGTGGCGCGGCTACTGGTGCTGAGGACCCGAGCGGTGGCGCTACTGCTAGTGCTGAGGACCCGGACGTTGGAGCTGCTGCTGGTGCTGAGGACCCGGCTGGTGGAGTTCCTGCTGGTGCTGAGGACCCGGCTGGTGGAGTTCCTGCTGGTGCTGCGGACCCGGACGGTGGAGCTGCTGCTGGTACTGAGGACCCGAGCGGTGGAGCTGCTACTGGTGCTGAGGACCCGGGCGCTGGTGTCTCTGCTCCTTCTGGAGACGCTGCGCGGCCACGACCGTACTTCGTACCGCTCCTTCAGCAGGTTCTTGGTCAGGCTCCTCCTCCTCGTCCTCCTCCCTCCGTAGAGTGTCCTCCGCCTGTCCAGTTGCAGTCACAGTTACCGCCTGCCTCGCCTCTTCCTGGTCCCTCTCCTTACACTGGTCCCACAGGAGGTCTTGCAGAGCGTCGTGAGCCTGCGTCTCGTCCTACGTCGCCTGTTCGTACTGCTCGCACTGGTCGTCGTGTCCCCCGTGAGCGTCCTCCTCCTGTCCCTGGCACTCACTACATGACTTTGCGTCCCTCCACTGCTCCTCAGCGTGTCCCGCTGCCGTCTCCTCCTGCATCCTCTCTGCCTACTCTTCCTGATCCGGAGTCTGACTCCCGTCGTGCTGCCAGTCCCACTGTCACGCGTCTCCTCGCTACTGTTGTCACCGACCCTACCTTTGAGTTGATAGACTTTGCTGCCCGGTGTCGTCTAGACTACGCCACTAGCCTTGTTGCTGAGTCTGAGTCTGAGTCTGTCTGTCCTCCGTCCGTCGGGGGTGAGTGTGCTCTTGGCACGGACGTCCTTGAGGACAGACAGGAGGAGTTCCAGTGCTTTGCTGCTGCTTTGCCCCACCTCGTGTCCATGCTAGTTGCCCCTGAGGGAGACCCGGATGCACCAGACATCCCGACCCCGCGCACTTACGCTGAGGCGATGGCGGGTCCCTACTCCTCTCAGTGGCAGACAGCCATGGACGCAGAGATGGCTTCCTGGAAGTCCACACGCACCTACGTCGACGAGGTTCCCCCACCTGGGGCGAACATCGTCAGTGGCATGTGGATTTTCAGGGTGAAGCGGCCACCGGGTTCTCCTCCTGTCTTCAAGGCGCGCTACGTGGCTCGAGGCTTCAGTCAGCGAGAGGGAGTTGACTTCTTCCAGACCTTCTCCCCCACCCCGAAGATGACCACTCTTCGGGTGCTGCTGCACATAGCCGCTCAGCGCGACTACGAGCTTCACTCTCTGGACTTCAGCACTGCTTTCTTGCAGGGCAGCCTGCACGAGGAGATCTGGCTACGCCGCCCTCCTGGCTTCACTGGGTCGGTTCCTCCTGGTACCCAGTGGAGGCTCCAGCGGCCGGTCTACGGTCTCCGCCAGGCACCGCGTGAGTGGCACGACACACTGAGGACGACACTTGCGGCTCTTGGGTTCGCTCCCTCTACTGCTGACCCGTCACTGTTTCTACGCACAGACACCTCGCTGCCGCCGTTCTACATCCTCGTGTACGTCGACGACTTGGTCTTTGCCACTGCTGACACCGCGGCACTCGCCCACGTGAAGTCGGAGCTGCAGAGGAGACACACGTGCATAGACCTGGGTGAACTGACAAGCTATCTTGGCTTGCGGATCACCCGGGACAGAGCACGGCGCACCATCACCTTGACTCAGTCACACATGGTGCAGCAGATCCTTCAGCGCTTCCGCTTCACGTACTCCTCGCCTCAGTCCACTCCTCTGCCTACCGGTCACTCGCTCTCAGCTCTGCCTTCGGATGAGTCCGTAGAGCCGAGTGGCCCGTATCCAGAGCTTGTGGGCTGCCTCATGTACCTGATGACCTGCACTCGACCTGACCTTGCATACCCTCTTAGCATCCTTGCACGCTATGTCGCTCCTGGCCGTCACAGGAAGGAGCACATGGATGCCGCTAAGAGGGTGTTGCGCTACTTGTGCAGTACGTCGGGCATGGGGCTAGTGCTTGGAGGGCGAGACCGAGTTGTACTTACTGGACACTCAGACGCTTCTTGGGCGGACGACCAGGCTACTCAGCGGTTGTCTCAGGGTTACACCTTCAGCCTTGGCTCCGGCTCAGTTTCTTGGCGTTCTACACGCTCTTCTTCTGTTCTCAGCTCCAGTTGTGAGGCTGAGATCTACGCCACAGCCATGGCTGCCCAGGAGCTACGCTGGCTGACCTACCTGCTGACCGACTTGGGAGAGCGGCCTCGTTCTCCTCCAGTGCTGTACGTCGACAACCAGGCTGCCATTGCCTTGTGTGAGGAGCACAGACTGGAGCACAGAACGAAGCACATCGCCCTGCGGTACTTCCTTGCTCGAGAGCTGCAGCAGCGTGGTCAGCTTTGTCTGCGTTACGTGGCCACTGAGGCCAACCTTGCTGATGTGTTCACCAAGGCGCTTCAGCCTTGTGACCATCAGCGTTTCTGTACTCTTCTAGGCCTTGTGCCTGTTGGACCTCACTTACTTACTTCTTGACTCTGCTTGTACTGTGATCTTTATATATATACCTGCATGTTTACACTTGCTAGGTTGTGATCACTGTATCTCTTGTTATATTATCAACCTGCATGTGAACTGGTCTTGTGACCACTTGCTTGTGCTCGGAATTTGTGTGGTATCCTTGAGATCCACCCTGAGCTTGTTTTGCTTTGCTTTGACTGATCTTGTGACCCCTTGCTCTCCCCCACTTTGCCTATGGGTGTGTGTCAAACATTATATATGTTGTGTTTGTTTAGGCTACAGTGGGTTAGCCTATAGGGGGTACACAATTCTAGGGTTAGGTACTTGTACTGATTTCACTGTTAGTTCAACCATTCCTGTCCGTTCATTCTGACACGAGCGAGCGCCTCCGAAGAAGACTTCTTAACCACCGCAGCCACCACTCTTATCTGGTTTTCTGTGAACACGTTCCCCCCGTCCGAGTTCGAGGCACCCAAGTGCGCAGTGGCAGCACGGACAGCTCTCTCAACAGTTGAAGCCAGTCGTTCGTCTACCGCAAGACCGGCCACAGAAGTGGAGATTTCTTTCAGCGAATTTCCAGCGGAGGTCTGGAAATCCAACAAAGATCGCTTAATATCGAGGATTTCAGCATTCCCGTCACGGACGTTGTCATACACGTCCAAAACACGACTGTTGAGAACATTCAACTTCTCGTGCTTGGACAGGTGCTGCCGTGTGCTGTCTGAAAGTTGCGCAGCTGTTATGTCTGGTGCACATTCCTCGCCTTGTTCGTCGCCCTCCTCGTACTCTTCGCTATCACATCTTTCGCCCGTCCATTCAACGCCCTCTCGGTTCAGGTTTGCAGCTGCGGCCGTCTCCCCCACGCCCATCCCGGCAAGGGCTTTCGACAACGCTTCATGGAGGTTCCGCCCAACAAGCTTTGGACCAACGAAACTTTCGTGTTTGAGGACATCTTCGATCGACTCCATGCGTTGTAGGGTAGTTACAGCAGACCAGTTGCTGGCCAGCTTGTAGAAGCGGTGTACGACGTGTAGTCCAGAGGATACAATAATATTTGTCCTTGGTGGCCGTGTCTGCACAACAAACATTGTCGTTAATGCAGGTCTCGTAGACGACAACATATTAATTTTTACAAGGTTCAACAGACGACTCACCAGATTCTCGAGTTCTAGCTGGCGCAAACGCTCTTCGACGACGTTCGGATTTCTCTGGATGTCAGTCGTCCCTTGCTCGAGTAGGATTTTGTATTCTAGACGCAGTTGCTTTTGTGGCCAGAGAAGTGACGGAGTAAGTTTTGCGATCTTTTTTTTTTTGCGACCGATCGTTCGATAGTGCACCTCTGATTTGGTAACATCAACCCCTGCAGGTGGCTCAAAGAGCAGCTATTGGTGGAGTATCGCGGCCATGACCATGAACTGCGCAACAGTACATCGGGTGCTACTGAGGAACATATGCGCGAACGTTTAGCGAACCTGACGATGGAGCGAGGACAGGTTAGTCTTCTCCGGCTCGTTTCGTTGTTTGCCGTGGTTGTGCTTACTAGTCTTACCGACCTTACGGTACTTGTCCCCACTGCAGTTGACCCAAACATTGGGGAGAAGGGAGGTTGGTTCAGGACTCCAGATTGCACATCTCTGGGGCAAGCTCATCGACTGTTGGGATGCCCTGTGTCAACTCCCGAGCGACCAACCTTTCCTGAAAATGGGGCGGGGCAATTGTACTAAAGAGGAGGTTTTGCAGAAACTGCTGGACAGATGCAGTAAACACTTCGACCCGTCAGGCGAGGAGGGGAGTGAGCAACGTCATCCGGCGCCGCCTGCAGGGGATGGAGTGGTTACGCAATCTGATGCGAACTTGGGTGAGCGAGCGGAGGATGGTGTTCCTTCCCGTTTGATTACGTACAGGAGTAGCCGGAATAGATCCGGAGACCGACAGCTGACTGTCGCTGAGGCTTTCAAGAAGCGTCGTGAAGACGCAGCTGATCGTCTGCGCGTTCAGACAGATACACTTCAGCCAGTGACTGAGGGGGTCAGTAACGATGGGGAAAGATGCGACCAGCCTGAGTCCGCGAACACTCCAAACGACAGCGTTGTGGCTGCGGACTCTACTCACCAGCAATTGGACGAATTCTTGGACCGCATTTCGCGAGACGGAGAGCGACGCATATCACCATCCGCGACAGACGTGACTGAGGGAATGCGTCTGACCGAAGCTTTTGATGGACCACCAACTGAAATGAATGCAAATGCAGCGGCACCGGCGTTGTGTGCGACAGTCGATCCTGGGACAAGTACTAAAATGGCGGACGAGCTCCATATTGCTGCAGAGGTGCTGCCAAACGCTGTGGCGGAGGGTGAGGTCGGACACGTCAACGGTGCGGCCGTTCAGGATTTACCTGCATCCACGGCAGACACACACGCATGTGGTGCTGTGGATTGTGATCAACCATGCGAATTGGGAGCCAACTGTCGTAGTGAGATGGCTGCAACCACAGCACACGATGCCTGCGCCACCGCTTCTGGAGATGTGCAAATGGTAGATGCGGCAATTCATTACGGGTTCGAGAACGGGCAAGATGGGGGGCCACCTCTAGACGAAGATCGCGATGGTGGCGTCGCGCCGCACACTGAAGCAGAGTTCCCCGAAGACAGGCCAACAACAGCCGACGGAGCGCCATCGGCAGGATTCGAAGAGTTGCTTCAGGAGCAGTTGCTGAACCCAACAGAAACAGGGATTGAGGACCTCCGGACATTCATACGGAACATTGCAACGGTCGAACAAGGGATTGCGGATCGCATTCAGGCAGCGGTGATGGTTGGCCCCGACATTCAAGGGACGGATGGGAGTGCCGGTGGTTGGGCAGGTGCGATGGAACGGAACCTCCAAGAAACGGCCGGTGTGTCGTCCGTTTTCCACTCCACATCTGACAAGACAGCGCCATCCACGTCTGGAACACCATCAACATCGGGCGAAGATGAACCCCACGTAGTTCGGGATGAGCCTATCGTTGAATTTCGCGATGCAACAGAGCAGTTGCATGAAGCGCTGGGTGGGCCTGCCGTCTACGTAGAGACGGAAACAGGATTTGCTGAGGTTGGGCAAGGCAGAACAGGGGTCACGGGTGGCGTATCGGATGAATTACTTCTACGGATGGCGGGCGTAATGCGTAGTCTTGCAGCCGCCGCTGCGGAGCAGAATGGGAGGTACAGCTCCTACATGCGTGAGTTGGGGCGGATAATTGACAGTCTCGACCGCCGCATCCACAGACAGCAAAACCTACTACGGGATCGATACAGAGATTTGTGTGCACAACTAGGCAAGGAACGCCAGGCGATGGTGGATTTGCGGGACGAGATGAAGGAGAACTTCAACGTGACGAAGAGGGTGTTGGCGGACGCTGCGACAAGTGCGTTTGGAAACCAGTATGACCTTGTGCTCCGTTCAATGAAGGACACTGTCATGGAATCCGTAGATAAGGCGCTAGCTAGGGCGGCGCTGGAGGCACGTCTGAAGGTGGTTCTACCAAGCGATTACATGGAGTCCATGCGGAGGCAGGTGCAGGGGGGGGTGGCCGAAACACTCGCGCAAGTTCAAATGACATCCGACCGGAATGCGGAAATTTCGGGGAAACTGGAGGCCATCTGCGCCGTTGTCGATGCAAAGTTATCTGCAGAGCAGGTTTCACAGCTGCAGATGCTGGGAGATGTAGGGTCCACTCTGAAACAGGTCAGGATGGCAAGTACTATGAACGCGCTGATTCTTGAGAGCGTGAAGGAGAACCTGTGCGAGGCCGCACGGGAATGCGGCCGACAGATGCACGCTGATCTTGTCGACAGACTGGCAGAGGTGCGGACAGTTGCTGACCGGAACGAAGAGCGTTTAGTTAAGCTGAAGGAGGAAATCTTCGCCGCAGTGATGGAGAAACGTGCGGACGCGGAAAAAAGTCAGAGGCAGATGCATGCTGCGCTTGGCGAGAAAGTGACGGAACTGCAGGTGGCTACTACCGCAAACGCGGAGTTTATTGTTAAGCTGAAGGGGGAAATTTTCGCCGCTGTGGTGGAACAACTCACGGGGGAGCGCGAATCTCAGAGGAAGGTTCTCGGGGTATTAAAGGAGGATATATGCGCGGCAGTCCGTGAAACGCTTATCAATGGAAGATCAGCATTATGTCAAGAGGGGCTTGCATCAGTCACTGCCAGGGGAAGGCGTGTGCACGATGTGGAAGCCAGCGCGTCCGTCGACACGATCAACATACAGCATAATCAGACCTCGCCCGACAATGCAATGTCGTGCGCAGACAGTGGTTCCGCATCCAACGACGAGGCCACGAGGGAACGCCGTGGTGAGCGATCAGGATCAAATGGGGGAGTTGTTTTTCCTCATCGGTCATGTGGGATGCCGCCTAGGATGACAACGGCGGCACGAGTGGAATGCCTGCCGGCGGCGATTCCCGGCGGAATGGATGTAGAGGTTCCCCTGGGCGGTACCAAACGTGCAGCGAGTAGAGCGGCTGGAGCGGGTACTTCGCCTCCGGCGGCAAACGTGCGAGGCGGTACTGCAGCAGATTCCAAAAGGCAGCGACTGGAGGTGGAGAGACCGTCGAAACCTACCTCAAAAGAGGATGCGGCTGGGGACTCTAAAGGTGGACACAATGGTGAGGGCCACGTGGGAGGCCGGATGACCTACGGCTCAGTCTGGTGTTTTCTGAACGAGCCTTCTGCGTACATTCAAGAAACAAATGTGCATGAGCATCTGTCACCACAAGCGACCGTATCCCGGGGTCTGATCGACGACTTGACGTCCGCACGTGGCCGTGCTGATGCGGTCGGAGAGACGGACATCGAAGGATTGCGTGAGATAGGGCTCCAAGAAGCCGAGGATTTGATGCCCGTTCAAGCCGACGAGTATGGAAAGCGGTGGGGTATTGTAAGGCCGTTCAGGTCGAGTGGTTTTGGCATGCGTCACAAAGGTACAGCGCAACAGCGCTTCTGCTCGGAGCAAACAGTGGGTGGTCGGAAGCGCACTATGGGCTGTCACAAAGATGAGTCTCTCAGAAACTTCACCATCGCAGTGTGCTGGATGGCTTACTTCCCCGACACGGACTTGTTGCATTACAAGATGTCCGAAGACGACGTTAAGAGTTGGGCGAACGAACTCAAATTCGCGTGAAAGGTGCCGACAGAAGTGTGGAGCGTCATGAACGAACTGAACCTCGACCGGCTCGAAAAGTAAGAACCAGTCCACCTGTCTGTTTTTCTGTTTTTTGGCATAGACAATTTTTGTAACAGCATTTCATTTTATGAATACATTGCAGTTTCCGTAATGTTGTGCGGAGGACTACCGAGCGATTGGTCAAGGGCTTAGAATGGGAGGTGGCCCTCTGCTCGGGCGTCGGTCGAGCGGTTATTCTTGGACGGTGTGATGTGGCTGCACCCAGTGGGGTACCTCCCCTCGTCTTTGCAGCAGGAATCTCGGCCACACTCTTCGCACTCCTGGCTGCTTTGACAGGTGTCCCTGTTGACCTAGGGATAGAAGACGGGGCTCTCGAAACTGCTCGCGCCACAATCGATGACGAGGCGATTGCCCAGCGTGCTGCCACGGCTGCGACTCGTGGTGTGTCTGCGCTGCTCGAGGTTGCTGCCGAAGCTCACGATAAAAACGATTGGGAACATGTCATGTCATCAAAGATTTTCCGCCATTTCGGCGAGTGCAGCGACGAGGACACCCAGAGCATATGTAGGGTAGTTGCTAGAGTAATAGTGTTCTGGTGTGGATGCAACGTGTCTGCAGCAGGTCTCGCGGAATTCGTGGGTGCGACCCTGCGCATCATTCCGTCTAGACGAGGCAACAGAGCTAGGAACATATGACACTCGTAGATATGTGTGATAAGAACGACGTGTACTATAATTTAGAAACCAATTGTTGTTGAAATGCCGCAGCGATTGGTGTATTCTGACCGACTAATACCATGCCTAGCGAAAAGTTGTAAGGGCATGCACCTTGGTACCATTGACCATAAGAACAATTTTGCCACGTGGCGTACTCGAACGTGCATGCGGGATGCAACGTGATCGGTGGACTGTTTACGATGGGAACGATGGTTACGTTAGCTGACTCGGCACTGGCCACATCGTACACCGATTCAAAGCCACACCTTTGTGAAGCAACGGAACACACCCTTCATGAGCCCGAAGGAAGATCGAACCCACTCTTATTAAGCACACCCCGGTCATTGTGAATCTGTTCACATTATTTGCGACGGCAAGTCCCCTACATCGAGCTTGTTTGCTTAAATGGCGAAGACCGATGGTGGATTATCGACAAGTTAGTTGTGGAGTTGAGGTTATAGTGAGCAAGCAGCACTATGAAGTTCTCTGCAAGCGAACTGTCGAGTGGCCCAATCGACTACTCGACTATGCTATACTGTGAGTCTCGTGATGTCTAATCGATGTTTTATGGGATAATGGCGCATACTGACTGGTGCTTGATGCAGGAGGCAAGCGAGGACAATCCTCAACACACAGCAGATGGAGAAGCTACACATCATTTCTTCGCTTGTTGCGTCGAAAGCATGCAGGAAGAAGCCTCCTGCACCCATGGGCATCTCTACGGAGCGTGGTTTGTTGTCCAAGGAAGTGATAATCGTACCTCTGTTTGAAGGGTGAGTCACGCAGGTCAGTTGTAATTGGTTGTCATATACCAAAGTGATTTATCGTTGTCTGTATTTGGCAGAATAAAGGACGAAGCTTATGCATGCGCAAGCCTCCTCATGATTCTGAGGCCGGACGATTTAATACTAAAGCCTCGGGGACATCAACGCACTCGCGCCTTTCATTTCGATCCCAAAGGCTCCATCCCATCACACAGCCAACTGGACCTAGCTGCCAAGGTGTTCAAGTAAGTATTGATGAGTATTCATGTCGGCCTATGTTATGTTGCTAAGTTGTGTTACGTTTCACAGGTGGCTTAAGAGGCAATTTGAGGTCGAATACACAGCCGACATCGCTCAGCTGACTCGTCAGGACGAAGTTGTGCTCGGCGATTTGAAGAAATCTCTCTCTGAGTTACGTCTCGAATAAAAGGTAAACCGATCCCGTACTAGATGGCCTTCATTTTGTAAGGTATTTAAAATTTTACGTATCTGTTTGCAGACGCCGAAGGATTGCGTGGGGAAGACTGTCGCTGGATCGTGTCTTCATGTGATCTACGAGTGGACCAAGATTCTCGACAAATGGGCATACATCGTCGACTGTCCCCCGAACACGAAGATACAGTTTGGTGTTGGGAGGCTCGGCAAAGTAGAAATCCAAGAGGAGCTGGAGATGGCCTTGCGTTCCGACTTGGGCGACAGGGTGGTCGAGAATGTTTACGCAACATCTGCAATAGCCGCAGGCACAAACAGCAAGGTTGGATTACCAAACCAAGTAGTTGGAGCCATGAAAGATCCCCTGGATCAATCGAAGGGTTTCGAGCCTCAGAGTCGGGTGGTGGCGATCAACCAACCAGGCTCGAGGGCAGGTGATGGGACGGCTAGGGTGGGTGTGGCCCCGGAGCCCAACGCGATGATGATCGAGATCGGGAAAATGGTGGATGCTGCAGTCTCTGCAGCTGTGGCCAATGCCGTCAACGAGGGGCGTTTCCACGTTCAGCTTCTGGGCGACGTTCATGAAAGTTTGGAGAAAGCTGTCAAGAAGGGCATGGACTCTGCTGCTGCGTTGCTCCGTGTTGAGATTTCCTGAGGTTTCGAAGTTCTCAAGAGGGAGCTTTTGAAGGTTATAAATTCTAAGTTGAATGCTACAGTCGAGCCCGCCCAAGCTACGGCACGTGAGAAGGCTCCGCCTCCGCCTACCGCACATGCTCCGTCTGGACACGAGAGGCAGACCAAACCACATGACGCGTCACCAGAGTTATCCATGGGAGCGGCAGAGGAAGTAATGACCGTCTGGGAGTTTGCAGATAGCGATGGTGAAGTTGGAACTGAGGTTTCTGACGACTCAGAGGGGGCGGCACCGATCCTGCCAGAGTCGGAAATGGATGGAAAACGGCAACCGCGCCCTTCGACCTTCACCATAACACCACAGGCCGCCAAGATTCCGCGTGCAGCTGGGGACACCAATAAGCAAGGGGGTGGTATGCTGACGTTTGATGGAGTAATGCGCTACCTCGCAGATAAGATGCCAGGTCGGAACGAGGAAGACGATGAGAACCCAATCGGAGCTCTACAGAAAGTGATGGAGACGCAGCAGAATCCAGAGCTGCCAGAAATTTCCGAGGAGAAGGATGGTCGGCAGGTTGAGGTCCAGGACCATTCAAAGATCGTGCCGGACCAGCTGGGCAAGAAGTTTGGGGTTAATAGACCCTTCAGATCGAGCGGCTTTTTTGTCAGGCAGAAAGATTCTCCACAGCCAAAATTCTTCTCGGAGCAAACCGTTGGTGGGCGGAAGAGACACATGGGTTGTTATACGAAAAAGCGGCGCAGGGATTTTACGATTGCTGTCTGCTGGAGTGTATTTTTCCCGGATGTGGACCTCGCATGCTACGGAATGGATTTGACGGACATCCAGAAGTGGAAAGCAGAGCTTGATTTCGCGAAAAGAATTCCAACAGACGTATGGAGCGTGATGAACGAGCTCACGCTCGACCGATTCGACAAGTAAGTAACATGCGCTGTAATTTCAGCTCACATTGTCACATCGAGTTGACTACGTTGTCTACGATTTTTGCAGTTTCGGGAACGTCATGTCGTTTACAAAAGAAAGGGTCAGCAAGGAGGTTCAGTGGGAAACTGCGCTAACCTCCGAAATAGCGTTTGCGGCAACACTGCAAGGGAGTGGCGCTGTTCCCAACCGTGTCAACCCTTTGATCTTTGGTGCGGGGTTGGCCGCGTCCCTCAGCGTGTTGTGGCTTGGTTCGTTGGGACATCCCCAAGACAAATTGCAAGAGGTAGCTCTGAACGCTGCAAAAGCCTCTGTCAACGACAGTGAAGTGGCTACCAAAGCCGCTGAAGCAGCATCGTGCATCCCAGCTGCAGTGATTAGTTTTGAAGACGGGGTTCACGACAAGCATCAATGGATTCCGCTCCTGGCAGAGAAGATTCAAAGTCTTTTGAAAGACAGCCAGCACGATACTGCATTGACGATGTCGAGAGTGGCGTCGCGCGTGGTGGTTTACTGGTGTCAGTGCTCGGTCGCTACGGCTGGTCTGAGAGATAACCTGAAACTGTTCCTGAACATCCTTCCATCAAAGCGTGGATCGAAAAACAAGGTACTGGGTGCACACGGCAAGTCGAAGACAAAGGAGTAACTAGGGCTTTGTTTGATGTTTGCGTTCTCATAAACTCACTGTAATGTTCCGATGCCATGTAGTCGCCTTGCTAGCTTGAAACCCCAACAGATATCCTCGTGTATCATGCCGGACGAGGCGCCCATGTCAGCCACGTGTCGTGCTCGTAGGTATTTCACCGCCTCTACCTCGGCGGCGACGAGGCATAGGCATCACCAATCATTTGCGGAAAGGTACTGTCGAACAGGGTCAATGGTGTTTCAAAGGACGATATGATCGAGTTGTGTTTTTTGGCACGCCTAATCGTGGGTTCAGTGGGCAGGAATGCTGTGTTGACGCTTTGTCAAACACCGTAATATAAACTCACTTAGGAGCACATGAACACACCCTAGGAGTTCCCTTATTGCGCCTCACAGCCATATAGTACCGCATACAAGCAGTTGTAATCATTTTACAGCCACATGCTCGATGTTTATTCTCCAACCATCGTAGTCCAAGACCGCTTTACCCAGTCACGTCACGTCTTGTCATCTATCGTGTAGGACCATCTCGATGGCTAGTCCGCTGCGAATGGCGGAATGTGGAGTTGACGTTTCAGTTCCCAGGTCACTTTTTTCACTCTTACTACACTGCAAGAATGAATGGCCAGCACCTCTGCTCGACTATACCATTTTGTAAGTCACAAGTGCTGTGTGGAAGTTTGCACAGACGTAATTACACACTAATTGTTTGCTGCAGAGTGCAGGCGACAAGCGTGCTCCACCCCCACGAGTTGGAAAAGCTGCACATCATATCGACGCAGGTGGTTAAGGAAGGTTTAGTGAGAGATCCTTTGAAACCCTTGGGCCTGAAGGCCAAACATGGTCTGTTGTCGAAGGAGGTCATCGTCGTTCCGCTCCACTCCGAGTAAGTGTTATACATCGTCATTTCGTTTGGTTGCCGCCTATAGAAAGCAAGATTGCGTAACCCTGTGGGTTTGGGTTACAGGATCAACATCGCCCCGCAAGCGCATATCAGCATGATAGTTATTATTCATCTCGACGATCTGATTGCGCAACCTCGTGGAATATACCGCGCCTGGGCTATCCACTTTGATCCTAAAGGGACGGTCCCAACGCACAAGCACGCGGTGCTTGCTTCGAAAGTATTCGAGTAAGATTGGTTTCGCTCCTTGACGCATTATAAATTTGGACCATCTTTAATGTCGCGGTATCCGCCCACCGCAGGTGGCTCAAGCGCCAATTCGTCGTCGAATACACAGGCGGCAGAAGCATGGGCAGCAGTCACGACCAAGCCGTTATAAAGGGCATGGAAATTAACCTGTCTAAGCTGCATCTAGACGCCAAGGTAACACGTGCTGTCGCTATTGACGTGGATACGTGACATTGTTGATCAAAACTTGTGTGTTGCAAATGCAGAATCCATCTGACGGAGTTTCGATGTCGTCGGTCGGATCTGGTCTGCGGAGATAACTCTAGTAACGGGAGCTAGACTACGGGCTAGGCACGGGTGCTTGTGTGATCTCTGCGTTCGTTGGTCCTTAGTCGTTTTCCTAGTGCACACACTACTTGCTAGTTCACAAGGCAATTTGGCAAGAGTTTCACTAGAGAAAGTTGACAACAATGATACAAAATTGGCAAGGCAAGACTACATCAGAGCTAGCATGCAAGCAAGTCTACTGCCAGCGCAGCATGGTCGACCGCGTGCCAGCACGACTTGGTCGACCGCGCTCCAGCAGTGCAAGGACGCGGCTTGCCAACGCTGCAGGTCGACGGCGTCACAACAGCGCAAGTCGACGGCGTGCCAGCGTTGCTCCCGCAGTCCAGCATCGCACCCGCTTCGCAGGTGCTCGTAGGTGATTGGCGCGCACTGCTTCGTCACCTGCACAGCGCACACACCAAGTCCACCTCGTGCTGACGACTGCATCTGATGCACCACGTCGACCTCGGGATACCATCACCGAGGTCGTCCTCGCCAAAACCACCTGGGCGACCGTCGTAAGCCTTCGCATTACCTCGTCACCCAGGTAACCTGGTCGACCGGGCAACCAGGTCGACCAGAGGCTCCAGTGCGTGCCCGTCGACCACCCAGGTCGACGACCACTTCCAGTCGACCTCCCCAGGTCGACCACTGCCTCTGGTACGTGCCGGTCGACCTCCCCAGGTCGACCACTACTCCCTGGTCGACCAGCTCCAAGTCGACGTCACTCCTGGTCGACCAGAGGGGCTGGTCGACTTCCCCTCCTGGTCGACCAGAAGGGCTGGTCGACGTCCCGGGTCGACCACCCGAAGTTGGCGCCCTCCCGAAGTCGGCGCCCATGCAATGGCTCCCGTGCAGGTCGACCAACCTCGTCGACCAGCCCGCCCACTGCTGCAGGTCGGCTGCACCCCTACATCCGACCACGAAGTCGGCTCCGCCCAAGCGAGGACGGGGCCAACACCCAACTCCCGTTGACACTCCCCTGCTGCGTTCACGCTTGGGCCTCCAGCCCCTACGGCAGCACTGCTCGGAGAACAGCTCGTCGACGTGCACCCAACACACAGCACGTCGTCCACCGCACCAGCCATGCAAAAGGGCATGGCACCTACTGCTGCACTTCGTCAACTTCGTCGCCCACGTCGGCCAAGCACACCTGGCCGATAGCGACAGAGCACCGGTTGAAAGCCGGATAGTGCAGCGCCTTCGTGAGGAAGTCGGCCGGCTGCTCAGCGGTCGGGATGTATTGCAGCGCAAACTTCCCCCGCTTCACCATGTGTTGCAGCCAGGCCTGTCGCCGCTCCATGTGCTTGAGGTTGCCCGTCAACCCCATGCCCTCGGCGACTGTGATGGCCGACTTGTTGTCCACCCGAAGGACGGTCGGCTTCCCAGCATCCAGCTGCTGGAACTCTGCGAGGAGGAAGCGAAGTCGGCGTCCCTCCTTGCCGGCTTCGACGGCCGCCACGTACTCCGACTCGGTCGACGACAGTGTCGCGCACTTGATGCGCTGGCTCGACCAGGAGACCGCGGCCCCTCCGTAGACGAACACGTAGCCGCCCGTGCTCGTCCTGCTCTGCTTGTCACCGGCGTCGTCGGCGTCCACGTAGCCGACCAGCTCCAGCGACTCAGGTCCACCGCCGAACTCCAGGGCGGTGTCACGCGTGTTGGCGAGGTAGGCGAGGCAGCGGTCGACCTCGCGCCAGTGCTGGTCGCTCCTCACCGTGAGGCCGCTCCCCAGCTTGCTGCAGGCGAAGGCGATGTCCGGCCTCGTCGTCGTCGCCGCGAACTGCAGCGAGCCGACCTTCTGCCGGTATTCCTCCTCCTGTCGCTCCTGTGCCTCCTCGTCGTCGAAGGTGAGCTCGGCGTAGGCGTCGACCGAGACCGGCGTCTTCGGAGTCCGTCCGCCTTGCTCCTCGTCGATGAAGCGCCTACGCAGCTTGTCGGCGTAGCCCTGCTAGTGCAGCCACAGCTTCCCCGCCGACCTGTCGCGCACGATCTCCAGCCCGAGGTACTTCTGCACCGGCGAGATCTCGCGCAGCTCAAAGGCGGCCTCCAGCAGCTCCTTCAGCTCCTTCAGCATCGCGGGGCTACTGCTGGCGGCAAGCAAGTCGTCGACGTAGACCAGCACCCAGCAAGTCGCTCCGTCGGCGCCGACCTTGAAGTAAAGGGCCTCGTCGACCTGGCTCTTCTTCCACCCAGCGTCGACCAGCACGTCGTTGAGCGCCAAGTACCACAGCAGCGGCGACTGCTTCAGCCCGTACAGGCTCTTCAGCAGCTTGCACACCCGGCCGGTTCCGTCGTTGAAGTAGTCCGGCTGCGACATGTACAACACCCGGTCGAGCTTGCTCTGCAGGAAGGCGTTCTTCATGTCGAGCTGCATCAGGTTCAGGTTGAGGACGGCGACGATGCTGAGGAAGATCCTCAGCGTGACGTAGCTGCCCACCGGCGCGAACGTCTCGTCGTAGTCGGCGCCGTACACCTGCGTGAAGCCCTTCACGACCAGCCTCGCCTTCTCCCGCTCGACGGTGTCGTCGATGTTGTACTTCGTCGTCAGCACCCACCGGTTCTTCATGACATTCACTCCCGGCGGGCGTTCAACCAGCTCCCACGTGCCCATGGCGAGGAGACTACGGATCTCTTCCTCCATGGCGGCCTTCACCGCCGGACCCTTCCAGCTCGCTAGCGCCTCCTTCACCGTCATCGTCGAGATGTCCCAGCGGTGCTCGGGGTCGGCCAGCATGTCGGGGTCGAGCTCCGGAAACTCCTCGTCCTCATCAGCGTCGTCGTACAGCAGGTCGTCGTCGTCCTCCACGTCATACACCGTGGTGAAGGCAGCGGGGATGAAGAAGTCGGGCGGCCTCCGAAGTCGACCAGACTTCCGGGGTTCAGGCGGAACCCCCACCACGTCACGGTCGGTGGACTGGTCGACCACCTCCTGATCGACCAGCTCCTCGTCGCCCAACTGCTCCCCTTCATCTTCACTGCCGTCCTCGTTGCCCTGCTGCACCTCGGTTGGCTTCCCGGTCGACTGCTCCCCTGTGGTCAGCTCCCCTGTCGACCGCCAGGTCGCCGACTGCTCCTGGGTCGACCTCGTGGCTGCCTGCTCCCCTGTCGACTTCACCCAAGTCGGCTGCACCTCCTCGACCGGCTCCCCCCTTATCCAGGTCGACTGCACTCCCAGGTCGACCTGCTGCTTGTCGACCTGCTGCTCGTCGACTTGCTGCTCGTCCTGTCGGCCACCGGCGATGCCCTTGGTCGGCGCCACAGGCGACGTCCCACTGCTCCCCTCATCGCCGGAGGCCGACGACGGAGTCAGCCCACGAAGGTCGACGAGGGGAGGGGCAGGGGAGGGAAAGGAAGGGTGGTCGACCTCGGCGTCGTCCACAGCAAGCTCACCGACCTCGGCGAGTAGAGGGAGCGTTGCCGTCGAGGTATCCGTCGGCGTGGACACTAGCGTCCGCCCTGACACCGGCCCATGCTCCGACTGCCACTCCTCCAACGACAGGTCTTCGTAGAACACCACGTCCGACGTGGTGACCACCCGG